CCTCCTCCTTTCCCCCTTCTACTCTTCCTCCTCCTCCTTTTTCTCCTCCTCCTCCTCCTCCTTTCCCTCCTCCTCCTCCTTTTTCTCCTTCTCCTTCTCCTCCTCCTTTCTCTCCTTCCTCTCCTTCTCTTTCTCCTCCTTTTTCTCCTTCTCCTTTTCCTCCTCCTACAGCCGCCGCGTCACGCCCGGGAGCGCCAGGCAGCAGCCCCTCTCTTGCAGGCGCGGGGAGCCGCGTTCACACGCCGCCCGGCTGCAGCCCCTGCATCACGTGTCCGGCAGGCGGGAGGAAGGGAGGGAGGGAGGGATGGCGAGCGAGCGAGCGAGCGAGCTGGGGAGGGGGAGGGCGAAAGAAGCTTGCCTGCTTGCCAAGCCGGGCTCAGGAAGGGGAGGGGACGCGTGCACGCGAGAGGGGCGGGGGGAGGGGCGGACGGACGCAAGCGGCGACCTCACGACCAAGCCTGGGAAAGGGGGAGGAGGGGGGGGTGTTCTCCCTTCCTCCCCTCCTGTGATAAAGCCGGAGGTCCCGCCATTCTCCGCCAGCCTCCCCATTCCATGAGATTCCCAAGGGACCTTGGAGGTCATCTAGTCCAACCCTCTGCTCGAGCAGGAGACCCTATAGTACCCTTTCAGACAAATGGCTGCCCAATCTCTTCTTAAAAACCCCCAGGGGTTGTGTTTTGATTAACTGAGCTGGAAGGGACCTTGTAGGTCATCTAGTCCAACCCCCACCCAAGCGGGAGACCCTAACACCATTTCTGACAGAGGGCAGCCCAGTCTCTTCTTGAAAGCCTCCAGAGATGAAGCTCCCACAACGTCTGAAGGCAACTTCTCTTCCATGGGTTGATTGTTCTCCCTGTCAGAAAGTTTCTCCTTATTTCCAGGTTGAATCTCTCCTTGATCAGTTTCCATCCATTGTTCCTTGTTTGGTCTTCGGGGGCTTTGGAGAATAGCTTGACCCCCTTCCTCCTCCTCTCTGGGGCAGCCCCTCCCTCAAATATTGGAAGGCTGCTCTCCTGTCTCCCTTGACAAGCCAATGATGGTAGGTGGCTAGAATGTCAGAACCGGTCAGCTGCCAGAACTTTGAATCCGGGTGGCAAATACAGTGACCAAAGTTACAACAGCACCGAAAAAAAAAGTGACTTATGACCATTTTTCCCACTTATGACCATTGAAGCTTCGCTGAGATCACGGGATCCAAGTTCAGATGACCACCAACCGACTCACATTTATGACAGTCCTGGGGGGTGGGGGTAGTTCACGTGATTTCCCCTTTTACGATCTCTTCCGACAAGAAAGTCAACGGGGGAGGGGGAAGCAGATTCGCTTAACAACCCTGTGGCTCACTTTCACATCCGCGGTGATTCACTTAACGACGTGGGCAAGAAAAGATCGCAAAATGCACGTAACGATGGTCTCTCTCAGCAGCGGAAATGTTGGGTCATAAAGTGAAGGGCTCTCTGCACTGCTGGGGATGTCCGTTGTCCCTTGGAACGGTCATTAAGCAGCCCGTCGTAAGTTGAGGACTGTCCGTGCAATGGCTCGGTGCTTGTACAGCGGAGGAGGAGGAGGAGGAGGCCACATCTGACCAAGGCTTGGATGGGATCCCAGGATTGTCGGCTACGCTGGGAAGATGAAAACCATTCCGGATCGTGGTATTCCACCACATCCGCCCTGTGGTCACGAAAGAGACACGGACGAGACCACGAAGTCGGTGGCCTCAGGCAAACCTTTGGAATCAACCACGAAACTTAAGGACCAAGAGGAAACAGACTACTACTTACAGTAACAGCCAAAATTGTGGAAACCTGTTTTTTTTTGAGGGGGGGGTGTATTTTTGAGGTTTGGGTGGCTAATAACACCACTTTTTTTTAAGTAGTCCCCTACAATGGAAAGATAAGGTAGTCAAGAATGTAATGCAACGAAGCTCTTTCAATTATCTGTATTCTGTGAAAAATTATAGATCAGAAACGACCCAGTCATAAAACCCAGGTAATAGAAGCAATCGTTCAATTTTGGTTTCACCTTGTAACAGCTGCAGAACTATGGGAAGACCTTGTAAGTCATGCTAAAGATTACCTAAACTAAGTATTAACTGACGTTGAAGACCCCTGCTCTAATCCACCAGAATAGAATAGAAAACAGAATAGAATAGAAAACAGAATAGAACAG